AGTTGTTAAAATAAAAAACAATAATTGGGAAAATGTACACTAGACCAATACTAACTGATATCAGAGGATAATCATGTATCAAATAAAATGTAGATTATTTGCATCACATTAAGATTGATAAAAGAAAGTATCAATTTCTTTCTAATACCTTGAAAACTCGCTCATCAAATTGCCCAGGGGAAATCTGGAGGGCATCATAACCCCCATCATTAAAGGCCCAAGTTCTACAAACTGTGAGACCCATCTTTGCACCAGCCTGCAGCATTGCACTAACCCTAGGTCTACTATTTTCATCCACAGAATGAGCCATTAACCAGTAAGAATTCCATCCATTAACGTACAATGGTTTACCATCCAAAAAGAACTGAGTCCCATTCCTTTCCACAAAACTTAACCTTGGTTCCCTAGGGAAACTACTAAGCTTTAAGTCACCCAAAGACATGTAAATAAAAGCCACACATGATGCAAATCCAAGAATTGTGTATAACATCCTATTTCCATTCACCATCTTTCTATATATAGTAAGGAACCTGAAAACCAATCAACAGGAAAAAATTTCCAGAAAGAAAGATAGCTTATTTGGGTACCGTTTGGCTCTATTTTAATCAAAATTTGAGGATACCCAAGTGGAGATTACAGTACCTTAAACTCAAATGTGAACGCAGACCCCTTTTCCTAAAGTTAACCAAAAACAAAGAAAAAAATTACTCCTTTGAAGGCATAACAAATTCGGTGCAAGAAAGACAGATAGACTTGAAAGTTCCTGTCTTTCTACTTAGGATTTGGGATTTTTATACCAGAAATGATTCAAGAAACAAGGAACATGAAAAAAAAAAAAAAAAACTGAAAAAGAAGGCAAAGCAAGCACACCCAACTCGACTGTCAAAACAAGGAGGAAAAATATGGGAGGTTGTAATTGTGAGGACAGGAAAGGGTCAATTGGATGTTGGTACTGTGGTATCAGCGTGCTGGTTAAAATCAGATCTATGCAGTGCACCTGATTTCCCTACAGTTTCCCTGAATTTTAATATACCTACTGTAACAAGAACAAGTCTCTCTGTTTAACACCCATGTGACCTTCTTGATTCCCTCCCCAGTTAAAACTATACCAAATTTACTAGGAAATACTATGAAAATTAAAAATTAAATAAAAAAAATTCCCAACCTTTGACGTGCTCTGCGGGACTTGGATTCTGTACTGACGAGTGTTGTCTGAAGGCCTCCGTAACCGTAAGCATTTTTTCTTGTTCTTTTTGTTTTAAATAAACATAAAATAATTCTATAGGCTTCTATTTGGTACCGATTCGAAAAATGTGACTAGGCACCTGTTAATTATAACGGAGATAAGGTTTCCCCATGTGACAGTCGGACAAAATGGGATCAATACACAGATGTCTTTGTTATTTTCCCATAGGGGAAAAATTTTCCTTTTATAGTTGCTTAAGCATTGACTAGGCTCTTCTCAATTTATTAAATTCAGTATAAATAAATTTATTTAAATTAATTAAAAATATATCTTATATAAATATATAAAATTTAAAGTTTTTGATAAAAAAAATTGAATAGACTATATAATTAACATATAACCAGTTACAAAAATATAATCATGTGTTTTGTATTTTTTTATTTAATTTGATTTAAATTGAAAAAATATTTCAAATAATTAATTACATTTATTTTTTTATAAAATTTTTATTTAATTACTTACCCTGATCTTTTATGATGTTTTACGATTAAATTTTAATTTAAATTATATTAAATCTTATATAAATATATAAAATCTAAAGTTTTTGGCAAAAAAATATTGTTCAACCTAGATAGCCATATAAGTGATACATAGACAATTATAAAAAATAGTTATATGTCTTGCATTTGATTTTTTTATTTAATTTAATTTAAATTAAAAAAATATTTCAAATAATTAATTATATTTCTTTATTTAAAAATTTTTAATTTAATTACTTACCTTTTTACAATTCTGTGACCTTTTATAGTTTTCTATGATTAAGATTTAACTTAAATTATATTAAATAACAATATTTTCTTTTCATATTTGTTAAAAGGCTTTAAATTTAAATTGTTTATATCTTATATAAATATATAAAAGTCGAAGCTCTTAGTAAAAAAAAAAAATTGTCCAACATAGATAACTTATATAATTGACATGTACATGATTTAAAAAAATAGTCATGTGTATATAATTTTTTTACTTAATTTGATTTAAATTTAAAAATATTTTAAATAATTAATTATATTTCTTTCC